CGATGGTCCCACCACACAATACGGGGGTCTCACCCACCCAGGGAACCCACCCGGGGATCCCACCCCACAGCACGATGGTCCAGCCCCACAGCGTGGGGGTCCCATCCACCCAAGGATCCCACTCAGAGGACCCATTCCACAGCATGAGACTGTCACCCACTCAGGGATCCCACCGGGGGGTCCCACCCCACAGCACAAGAGTCCTACCCACCTGGGGATCCCACCCCACAGCATGGGGGTCCCACTCCACAGCACAGGAGTCTCACCTACCCAGGGATCCCATCTGGGGGTCCCACTCCACAGCATAGGGTTCCCACACACCCGGTGATCCCACCCCCTCAGGGATCCCACCCTCAGGCTCACTCCCACCGCCTGGGGGTCCCACACAGGGTGTCCCAGCCGGGGGGCTGGTGGGTGACCCTGGCAGAGGGGGTTTTGTGGAGATGCTGGTCCCCCAGCACTCGCAGCAGCTTGGCTTTTATTTACAGCTATTTCAGGTGGCAGCCTGGAGGAGCCCCCCGAGTTTGCAGCGAGCAATCTGTGAGCATGGCCCCGGGGGGGGGATTGTGTGCCCCCCAGGGCTGAGACCAGCCATGGCCCCTGCTCTCTCCCCTCCTGGCTCTCTCCCTTCTGGATCTGAAACGCCAGCAGCAGCGTCAGCAGCGTCTGTCCTCCCTGTTTGCACTGAGTCTGGGCAGGGAACCCTCCCGGCGAGACAGGGGCTGCTTTGTGTCAGACTGTGAGCGAGCAGACAGGCCAGGGACAGCCTCTCGCCCAGGGGGGTGCAGCACAGGGAGGGAAGCTGGAGCAAAGGGGAGGGAGAGAGACACACAAATATGATGGAAAACGGTCCAGGAGGGTCAATCGTGAGGCCGTTGTTAAAATAATTCCTCGCCTGCTATTAGTAATTCTTCAGATTATCCATTCGTCCCCTTTTCGCGGTTCAGATTGCTTCCTTCCATCTGAATTTGACTCAAAATGACCTTTGCAAACAAGCTGCTCGCTTCATGCCCGGTGGTTCCTCCTCAGTGTCAAGCAGCGGGCGCCCGGGGACCGACTACCCAAGGCCTGTGCTGGCCCCCCCCGGGGGGACACGGTAAATAACGAGCATAACGACAAAACCGACCCCAAACACCCCAAATCCCACAGCTTGTTTGCTGCCTTCTGTTGGCACCGAGGAGGTCCCCACTGGTCCTGTGCCATGCGGGGCCAGCCCCGTGCCGTGACCCCCACACTCACCTCCCTGCCAGCAGACATGGCCCACGACGTCCCCCCCGGTACTGGGGCCGGGTTCATATCACCCCGTCCTCCCGCAGCTCTCCTCCTGCAGGGTGTCACCTCCTCCTGAAGCCAGGGTGGCTCTCTGCAGCTTACACGGCTTATTTTTAGTTTTAATTAGCCTAGTAAAAGAGAGAGCCTTTGTGATTTTTTTTTTTTATTTATATATTTTTTTATTATTATTATTTTTTTTTTTATGGTAATTTTTTTACCATTTTTTTATGGTAATTTGGGAAGCAGCAGAGGCAGGAGGATGCATTGCTGGGTACCCGGTAGCTGAGCCAGCTGTGAGGATGAGGAAGGTCCTGGTGCTGCCACATGCT